ATTATTATTATTATTATTATTATTATTATTATTATTATTATTATTATTATTATTATTATTATTATTATTATTATTATTATTATTATTATTATTATTATTATTATTATTATTATTATTATTATTATTATTATTATTATTATTATTATTATTATTATTATTATTATTATTATTATTATTATTATTATTATTATTATTATTATTATTATTATTATTATTATTATTATTATTATTATTATTATTATTATTATTATTATTATTATTATTATTATTATTATTGTTATCATTAGCATTCACCTTTTGAAATGATTAATTAAGAATAAGGAATGCAGCAACTGGAACGATATATATAATAGCAAAAAATTTGGTGAATTCTGTATATTATTTACTGATATATTCTGATATATTATTTTGATGAATTCTGATATATTTATGTAACTATTGCCAAAGCAAATCCTATCATTTACAGGAAATGAATCAAATATATTGGAGAAAATTTAAATCAAAAACAGAAAACGAAATGGATTTATGGATTGATTAATTCGATCTCATCTTACCCCATCTCATCCCATCCTTACTTTACTTTCATTTGCCTATTCAATATCACTTCAAATTCGATCTACTCTTTCTGTCGCAACATTGAAACATATTCATTCAATGCATTCATCAATAAATATTATTATTTGCATATTGAGAGGTAAGGTAAACAAATAAACAAATGAATGTGTACAACAATCTTAGCCATATGTTCATTTATTTTGATTAGAAGATGAATCTAAAATTTAGAATTTATCATCCATTTATTTGAAAAATTCACTCACTGCTTAGTTTTCAAATATAATTTAAAAAACAGTCACTTTTTAATTTATAGAACTAAATCTTAATTCCAAATTCTAATTGCACCTTTCACATTCCTGGGGAAAGATGGCGAAGGAAACAATTTTAATTTAAAATTCAAACTTTACTTTTATAATACAGAAGTAAGATCACTTCTTCATCCTTACTGTTAATCGAATTAATAAGTACTCAAAAACCAAAATAACAAAGAACCGAAAACAATGGTAATTTTCTCCCTCCTATTATTTGCTTGTTTTTCCAACTATTTGTAATTTATCATATTACCTGGTAAAAATATCATTCTTGTCAGATATTATAACTATTAATTAATTATTTACCTTAGATTAAAAAGGATGAAATGGCTCTCTTCCTGTGATGCAAAGTTAGATTAAAATCGCTTTTTCTCATTTTTCTTAATGCTAACAAAGTATGACTGTAATCCGAGATTAAAATTTAAAATTTGAAAATTTAAATCACGAATTATTGTTCAATCCAATGTGCACATTTGCGGTGTTCGTTTATACTTAGGGATTTTATTTTAACATACTTATACAATTTGTTTATTCCAACTTTGCCCATTAATTTAACTCATACTTTCTTCATTTACCATTAGTTTTTCTTCTTTTTTTATCATTAAAAAGTTGAAATTACTAATTAAAAAAGTGTGGTACCAAAGGATGCAATCGATATTACAATTATTCCAAGAAAACAAACTTTACACTTTCAAATTAAAATTTGTAAAAGAAGAAAAAAACGAAATAAATGTGAGCAAATATAAAGTAAAATACTTTCCCAAAACGATAAGAGCAAAAAAAAATAAAAAAAAATTGTTTCTGTGTAAATTCATTCTTTTAAGAATTGCAATCTTTTTTTCCCAAAAGTATGTAGTTGATTGAATGTTTTCATGATTTGAAAAAAAAAAGAAGGAAATGCCGCATTTGAAAACAGTTTACGCTTGCTTAATGCAGTTGCAAGTTGCATGCAAACAATGCATACTTCATTTTATTTATGTTTTTTACTGCAAATTCATCCTTCAATTTTGTTTATTATTGATTTCACTACTTAAAATATCTTTTGCCTCTTTTTTCTCGACAATTTTTGCTAATTTTTTATAATTTTCTATTAAAAACACTTTTCTTTCCGTTTTCTTAATGATTTCTATTGAAATTTAGTAGAAAAACTAATTAATTCATTTATCTGTCTGCCACTTATGCCATTTGAAAAAAAAATTTTAAAAAAAGGAAAAAAAGAAAGGTCATTTTTTATTGCAAATAATCATTGTATATTCATGTCAAATTAGCGTTTCATGAGACGTGTCACTTATTTAAAATATTTAGCAATCACTTGAACACGTGACTTTTTTTTGAGCCGTACCCATAAAATGATGCTATTTTCATTTAAAGGGATACTTACTAATTTTATTAATTTTAATTTTTGATTTTTTAATTATTTTACAAATGATTAAGTGGTAAAATGAACTAAAGTACAGGGAAATTATGTATTTGTTGTTTGTTTTATCTTAAAAAGTTCTTGCCAAATATTTCAATCTTTCAAATCAATGATGAGTCAATATTTCAAAGAAGAAAAATAAAGAAAAGAAATAGTAACCATACAGTTTACAATTTAAATTTCATTTTTTCATAAAAATTCAACAAATTCAAATCTTAAAAAGTCATTGCAGTTAGTTGAAAAAAGAACTTTTTGCTTATTTCTAATGCTTCTAACTGATATCATTTGTAACATATAATCATTGATAATCTTTGATCATTTGATACATAAAATATCGTAAAATGATCGATTATACAAAAATTATTACTGAAGTGTTAACAAAATACTGTATGAAATTTTGATGCAGCATATGATAGAATGTAAGTTATGATAAGTAAGTAAGTAAGTAAGTAAGTCTAATCGTTGCATGCTTTATCTTGCATGCACGTGCCACGTGCATTTCGTGTTCTTAAAAATGGATAATGCATACTTAACGATATTTTTGCATTTATAAAGAAATTCATTGGCGCAATATTTGCAACTCGAACGGATAATATCAGGGGTTTTAAATTGTTGTAAAAGCAACTGTTAGGATTGTCGTGCAATGTTTTACTGCATCATCACAACATATTGGTTTTCCCGTTCCCGCATTACCATTAATTAAACTTTCAGCAAAATGTCCTCCTCATTAGGACAGATCAGTTTAATAGGTTTAGCATTTATCAGTTTTAATTTATAATTTTATTTAATTTTAGTTTTTAATATAATTTAAGCATTTTATTAATTGTTTATAATCTATTTCTGGTTTTTTTCGGTTAATATTATCAAAATTTAAAGTTTACTTCACTTTTACTCATTTCTATGCTTAGTTATAAAATTAAATTTCAAACAATTTCGTACTTTCAAAAGTATGGAAAATTGCATATTGTATGATACTCAGAACTCATCTACTTATCAAATTTCAAAAAAATTTAACTGACAAATTGTCTTGCAGATTGCTTTCACTGTTGATCCTAACCTTCATTCAAATTCCAAAAGATTCCACAAAATTTTCCTTTACTTTTAACTTTATGTTTGGAATTTCAGAATGTACTTTACAATATCCCACTAACAAAATTTCATTCAAAAATAATATTGAAATGTTCGGAACTTAATAAATTTCTAAATTCCCTCCAAGAACTTAGCACAATTAATTGTTAATTAATTTATTAATGTCAAATAATAATAATCTCTATTTTCTTCGCAATCAACCGCATTAACATTAGTCTTTTATTTTTTGACCTTTTGCGCATACCAATTTGATATATTTTCGTACTTATTTGATCATATCATAGCTTAATCATTATATTAATTACCTTATTCATCATTAGTATAAGGAACTTAATTACCATTAAGATTTAGTTCGGTTCAAATTGAAATTTAAACAATGTTTTCGAAAATTAACATAAATTCTAATAAAAACCATATCCATTTATCATTCCATTACACTTCGTCTTATCAATATTTTTGAAAAAATAACAATTTATCAATTTGATAATTTGTTTACTTTCAGGATATAATGCGATAAATTCAACAAATCTTCCCATTTTATTCTGCACGGATTATTTATTGTCAAATTTTGCTTATTTCAAATCATTCCTTACATTCATACTGCGAAATTTTCATCAGAAATATATAAGAACTGAATGCTATTTGAATATCTGATAGGAATTCATTTCATTTATTCCAATTATCACTGCAGTCATTTTCATTCCTTACTCTTCGATCATGCAATTAATTAGACGTTTCAAATTAATAAAATAAACAAGAGAATCTTTGCAATTAATTAGAATTGGTTCTTAATTAATGCTAAATGAACAAATGAAATGCAACAACATTACTACTTCTTGTTGCAATTACTTCCATTCACTCATACACATTCATCTGTTAATTTTTACTGCAAAATTGATGAAGGCTAAGAAATTATTGATTATTTCAAAGCTAATTACTACTAATTAGCATAAACAAAATATAATGTATACGACAATATTGATAATGTTCACCATTCGATTATTATCCTTATATGGGATGTTGCAACAAGTTGATTTCACTGAATCTGATCCAGCCTGTAATTTGATGATACCAATTCAAAATCAAAATATCATTTCACCAATGAAACAAACAATTTTTAAAATACGCATTTTTGATAGCAATGATCGTGAAACTTTTGAATATGATGCGGAAAATAAGAAAATTTTACAAGGTTTAATTTTTTCTATTCTTTTTTAATTTTTCATTTCATATTTTAAAGCTTTCCTTTAAAGAAATGCAAAATTTTTACAAAAAATCACACAATGGATCAGAAAAACGCATATTTACAAATTTCCTGTCGGAATAAAAAGATTTCTTATTATTTCTAATTATTTCATCTAATCTATTCATAACATTGGGCTTAATAATTATCTATAAATTATAAATTTTAAGATTTTAATCCTTTTTTTCGAACAAAAATTTTAATTTATGTGTGCTCTAATTGTGAGACAATGTCTTTATTATAAACATTTAAAATTCAACATTTACGTACAACAATTCTAATAAATTACAATTGATGTGACATTTTAATAATTTTTATTTCTTTTTTATTTTTTTGACTTATTTAATAAAAGTTATTTATAGTACGGGTGGAAGGTGGTCCATTTGAACGAGCACAAATACAAGCTCGTTCAATCATCAATCCGACAGCTCAGGTAGGACGATTCGTTACGCCAATACCTAACTACTTCAAACTTGTCAACTGTAGCGGCAATTACGGTCAGTTCAAAAGCTGTCATTTGATTGATGTTTTTTGACATCTTTACCTTTCAATTTCATTTTATTCCATCATGTATTCCTCACTACGGAATTCTGAAAGGGATTTTCTACTTTTAACATTATGTTTCCTCTACTTTATCATCTAACCTTTTAACCTTTTATTTATTTCTTATTCACTTTTATTTTGTCTCAACGCCTTTTTCTATTCTAATCTAATTTCAACTTCAATGAAAATATGGGTATTATAAAAAGTTTTTTTTGACATAACGGATAAACTCTGTACTTGATATTGCCCCGTTTTATGTTTTTTAAGCTTCATTCATTAGGTTGAATATATATATATATATATATATATATATATATA